CTAATCCCCAAATTTATTATATCATGTTACAAGATTCCATATTGTCACTAAACATAATTTGAAGCAGTTCTCCTTTTTTTTTTTTTTTTTTTTTAGTTTTCCTGAATCTCCACAATTCAACTTAATTGGACAATCTTCTGTTCCAATATTATAATAACAGAAGGGGGGAAAGTGATTTTATCTATTACATCTGCACAGTGCACACATAGATATACTTCTATAATGTCTATCACTTTTTTCTACACTAAAGGTCTTCAAAAGACATTAGCTCCAGACTCTGATCATTGCTTGACTAACTTCTTGTTGTTTTCTCTTTTGTTTTCCTGACCTATCCTTCCTGTAGGTCCATCTTCAAAAAAGGCTAGTAAATGTGATGGATTTTCAACAGCTCAGTTCTGGAGGAACAGGATATACCAAGAAAGCCACAATTTAACCCTCATCTGATATTTTTTATAAACTTTTGTGCCAGATCTTACATATCTTTAGTCCCCACTGCAGACATGATCTGGATTAGGCATTTAATTTTTGACAACTAGTTAAATACTATTATATTGGAATCAACTCTTAGTAAATATTTTCCAGCATGATATGTCCCCAACCTGGTCCTTCAAGTCTTCCATTTGTGTACCTATCACTTCTAATAATCAAGTCCACTGTTTGCTGATGATTGCTGTCTTCTTCTCTTTCCTCTACCTTTTCCAGCATTATAGACTTCTCAAGCTATTGAATAATATAGCCAAAATATGATAATTTGATCCTGGCCATTTGTGTCATTTACAAGAATTCTGAATTGATTTGTTATATGAGCCATTTCCTCAGCTCTTCCGCAATAGACTGTTGGGTCCCTTTTGACCTAACAGGCCCGTCGCCCAGCACATCAATCATTTTTCATTGTCTATCCTTGTAGGTTTTTGGTAACATTCCCAAATGGTTTACCATTTCCTCTCTCTGTGCAGAATAAATTAAGCCTTTGCCATTAGCATTAAAGTGATTGCCTTCAGCATCTTCCTACGTATATCACTGTTCCCCAATGTAGACTTGCTTACTTTATCTAGGCAGTTGAGATGGCCTGAACACCTTGGATGACTCTTATACTTTTCACATAAATTCAAACAATTCCAACATTCCTTGCTCAACTCTCTCAGCAACCTAAACCCCCAATAAGACAGCACATTTATCACATTACTCTGAAAGTATATTGAAATTGGAGAGATTTTGTAAAAATTATGATCATTATAGCATAAGATTACCTTATCAGAAATGTAAACACCTGTATGGGGTTTAGATGGAATCAAAAAGATAATTTCTGTATCATTTTGCTCCTGCCATTTACTGTAGAATTTTTACATAATAAATCTGGTAATATTACCATAGAAAGATAGGCAAAAACTTCATTTTTTTCCAAATCAGCTTCCTACCCACATATTCCAATTTAGTTATGAGTTTCATTATTTGAATGCCATCTTATTGCTATTCTTCTCTCCATACCTTGAGAAGAAAATGAGAGAGATTTCTCAGTCTGGAAAAATAGTAAGTGTGTAAAAGACAGACATTCAAAACAGTCATGCCTTCATTGTGTTGCCCTTAAAAAGAGTCAATGAAGGTTCTGGGGTGGCATTCACAATTTTGTGAATATACCTTAAAACAATAAATAACTGGGATCCCAGTTGTTATTGTTTCTTGATCTGGCCTACCTTGAGGCACTGATGCACATCATTGTTCGAAGTTTTTGTGCAGTTCTCTTGCAGGGGATGTTTGCCTGGCTAGGTGGCTCAGTAGCTAAGACACTGAGCTTGTCGATCAGAAAGGTCAGTAGTTTGAATCCATTGGTCTTCTGCATGAGCAGGGGGTTGGATTAGATGACCTTCAAGGTCCCTTCCAACTCTGTTACTGTTATTTATCTCACATTTGTGGTTGCCCTAATTAATGGTCTTTTTCATTTATTTTAGCTTACATTGATTTAATCAATATTGAAAACTACTTTTGATGCATGAGGTGCTGACTTATTAATATAGACCCAAGAAGAGAAGTAACAAACAGCTGGGAATATTTTTTTACCTTACTTTGCTTTGGCATCTTCTATGGCATTTGCCATCTGGCTGGAAAACAGAATAGTATAAACACTGTGCTGTTAGTGCAATTGTTCTAATAATTGCAAAAGTGCATTGGCTCCCACTGATCTGGTAAAGAAAGATTTCATAAACAAGATTATCTAAGAGTTGGGATCCAAGTAAATACTGACCACCTGAGCTCAATGCAGTTCTTAAGAAACTCCTTAGCTAACATAGCATTATGTATTTCTTTGTTACTTATTTCTTTCTATGGTTAAATCTCCAAAGAGCTATATTTTAAACTCCAGAATGCTTCAATGAAATTTCCCTTCCCTCCTTTGTGTAGGGAATCAACATACTGGCATTTTCAGATTCATTAGTAATGCCACATTTATTTTAATTATGGACATAGAAAACCTTAAAATTACAGGGAACAGCAATCTAGCATTAGTCCCTACTGCTGCTCAATGTTACTTTAGAAGATCCTGCTACTAAACAGAATTTGTCATTCCAATCTAAGGAGATTGGATACTTGGAACTGGCTGAGCTCAGAAGTCACTTATTAAAGCTTGCTGACTCTCTGGGGCTTAATAACATTCTTCCATCTAATTTCAGGGAGTGAATATTAACCGTGCAAACAGAAGGATGGGAAACTTGAATGGATAGTCCTTTCAGAGGTCATTCAATTAAAGATTTTATAATAGACTTTTTTTTAAAGTGATCAGATCTGGGTTTTAAAAATATCAATAACAGCCGCAAATACTGAAAATTGTAACTCTTTGTTACCCATTATTGGTTATTCATATGTTTGCAGCCTACATCAGCACTAGACTATCTATCTATCTATCTATCTATCTATCTATCTATCTATCTATCTATCTATCTATCTATCATCTATCATCTATCATCTATCTCTTTCCTATTCATCTGATTTAAATTCTGCAATCATCAGAGCAGACACCTCTTCTTTTTTAAACATAAATAAAATAAAAAAAAGCCAGGCTGCTTTAATGAGAGCTGGCCACTTTGAAGTACTTCTTTCAAGTCATTTTTGAAGCATGGTTATTATAAAAATTGCAGCAAGGTATGATTCTTTAGAAACAAGACGTCACATCGGAAACTCAGCATGTGCCGGGTGCAGATACAAACCTCTTTTATCAGCACCTACCTGCATATTTAAATAAGAATTCCTTACGCATGCATGGACACACACACACACACACACAAAGGGGACAGGATGAGTGAGAGAGGGAGGGAGGGACAGAGAGAGAGTGGTGGGGGGAGAGAGAGATTTCTTCCTATAATGACAGGAAACTTCCAGCCAATAGGTCAATGTGATTCTATATGTTTTCATAGTTCATGGAATCCTATTATAATTGCTGAAATATAGACTTGTTACATAATTCCTTGGAGTGTGTGTGTGTGTGTGTGTGTGTGTGTGTGCGCGCGCTAATGTAGGTTTCTTTGGTCTCTGGTTTATTATTCCCCCAATGAAGACAGCTCAGGAACTGAAAAAGTAGTTAAAATGCAGTTCCCTATAAAGTAACCCCATTTCACTATTTGCTGATAGCTTCCATCTTCAAATAAACATAGGAATAGAATGTTTTACATTTGTAAATGTCACAAGTTTTTCAATAATTCATGGATACAGGTTCATGGGACCTTATGAATAGGCTGTAAAATTTATGATTATCCATATGAGAACCAGATTGGTTAAGGCATCTGGCTAGAAACTAGGAGACTATGAATTCTAATTCTGTTTTATGTACAAAGACCATGGGCCAGCTACTTTCTCTCAGTCCTAGGAAGGAGGCAGTGAAAAATCACTTCTGAGATCTTGCAAAAAATCCCAAAAAGACTTGTCTAGGCAGTATTCAGGAGACAAAGGCACACACACACAAAGAAAGGATAGAGATTATACCCTAAACCAAGAAATGATAGAGCTGGAGAAAGGCAGGCAGAGGGAGAAATGTTGGGGCACAATAGCCAGATCATTACAGATGTCATTCTGACATATCTTTATTAAATTTTTCTTTGGAATCACTTGTCAACAAATGGATCACTGATTATATTGGTGGCAGTCCTAGGTTTTGAGAACCTACTGTTAAATGCTAGGTGAGTTAAAGGAAGTAGATCTGCCATCCAGGATTATCTTGCTGACTTCCTATGAATTATAAAATCTGGAGACAGCTTGTATTTGCATTCATTTAAAAGTGATTAGGAGATTTTAAACAATTTAAAAAAACCTTATTTTATAAATATTTTTAAATATTTCCATTCCATGTAGAAAGACTGGCTAAATTAGTTGGAGGAATAACTGGGACCAGAATTTTCTTTCATGCCTTCATTCTAAAAAAAAATTCTTGCCTTTTAGTAATTATTTGAGTGCCTGCATAGGGCATGGTTCTTACTCTCAGAGGCGAGTGATATATGTCCCTGCAATATCCATAAAATGTCATGAATAACAGATTAACTAATGGAAACAAGGGAAGAATCTTATAAAAATTTTCCAGGCTAGACAGCCATAAGAGGATAACATCAAACTTTAATATCAATAACACAGCTCACATTCTTCCAAATTTTCACTGTTAAAAGTCAGCTCAGATCTGTTCTGTACTGTGTCTCTCTTGTAAATGCTTAGATCATTTTCTTTTGTCCACAATGAATTGATTAAAGTTCCTTTGATTCAAGCCTCAAATTTAAAAAAAAATATTTAAGTATATTTGAAACTTTATAATGTTCTGGAAAAGGCAAGGATGAAAAGCCTTTTAAAAATGTACAGCTGATTGACAGTCTGATTGAATTAATTGCAGGAATTCTCTTAATTGTGCACTTAATTACTGATACTATGTGTCAAAAGATTATGTGGCAGCACCTGCAGGAGACACTGCACAGCTCTAGTCAAAGCCAGCTGCACCAAATTTCAAGGAAGCATGGTGCATCGCCCGCAGCTTGTTAAAGGGGGAAATCATATTATTTTAATAATATACAATTAGAGTTCACCGTTGCCATCCTCCAAAAGCAGACAATCCCAGTTCTCATTGCAGGGACAGGATCTAACAGATCAAAAGTAGAGAAGAGACAAAAAGTGTTAATTATAGCTCCATATGACATGAAGTCTTTCTGTGGATTGTTTTTAAATCATTTTGTTTGGCAAAAGGGGAAGGAGCAACCTAAACTGATTCAGAAGGCTACAAGCCATTTCTGGATAAATAGCAGTAGTTTAAATATATTACCATAAATTCAATTCACAAAATTAGTACCATCGTGGATACACAATCTTTCTTCACTTGCTTAGGCCTACTTTTCATCAATGGAAAGCCTCCTTTTAATTATGGAAGGTGCCATTACAAGCAGGCAAGTTTCAAGGAGATGGTGTAGAATCAAGGAGATACGGTAATGTTCATAAAATTAATTTTAATTGATGATCCCATTGACATCAATGATAATGGAATGTTGTAGGAAAATATATCCTATGAAAACTGCAGATGTCCATATGCATAAAGATGTAATTGGCAGTGAGAAGTAAAATGTTTAGAAACATAGAAATATAGAAAATTGGTGGCAGAAAAGAACTAGTGGTCCACTAAGTCCTTAGAGATTTTTTAAAATTATTTTATTTTTAACATTTTTGTCAGATGATGGACATGTGTTAATCCCAAGCATGTTTAATATAAATTACTAATGATTGACCCACTATATCCACTGGAAGTTAGTTCCAAGCTCTTTTTGTGAAGCAATACTTTCTAACATTATATTTGAACTCCCACTTTTACACTATCTTCCAGAACTCTGTCACACCCTCTTCCTAGCAGTTGTTTCTAGTCTTTATTCTGAGTTTGGGGGCTGGAACAACTGTTTTCCAAGCTTCTCAGTGGTTTCAACTGAGCTGAATTTCAGAGGTTTTGTGAGCCCAGAAAGTCCTGCATTATTCAATAAATTTCAAACTTCAGCACTGACTTTATAAATTAAAAACTTTATTCTATTTTCTAACATTATATTGCTGTTTCAAGGTACAGCAAACCATTTTCTCCCAAAGAATAACACTGGAAAAATCAATGCTACTTCTTCATATAACTTGCTTTGTTGCAGTAATCATTCTGTAAAGAAATTACCAATCCTTGGAAAATCATGGAATAAATAATTATGCTTACAAAAAATATTCCCAGCTCTTTTTATCCTGTTCTGGAGGCCCAGTAGTCTCATCTAAGAACAGGCAAGGGGAAGAAATATTAGTGCATTGCATAGGTCACATATATTGTCTATAAATTGGTTACCAACTCATTCCTATTATAGCCCTCAAATCCAAAAATAATTCTGTGGCAGCTAGCTACTGCATCAGGAATGCAGATTTTATAACACATGTTTTAGAAATAGGCCATATCCTGAAAACAAAGGGGTTTTTTTTGTTGTTTTTTTGTTTTTTGTTTTTGCTTTTTAAGAAGCAGGGTGCAGTGAAGAAAAGCTGCCTCCAATGTTTCCAATGAAAAGCTGCAATGTATAAAATACCACGATCAAAGGAAAACCAAATGACAGAAAATACGATGAGATTGGTTTGAGAAACAAGATGAAAAGTTCCATTAACAAAACACACCACAGCAATTGTCATGGTGTTTATGAAGTAGTTTCCTGTCTCTTCACATTTAGGGAACTTGGAGCAGCTGTTTGACTATCTCATTAAGTGCCTTGTGAAAAAAAGAGCAAAAAGTGCCATTGAAATAAATGACTGCCAGCCTGCCTCAAAACAGAAATAGAACTAAAGTAACATTATTTTATATGGGAATCTTTCTGAAGGATTCGTAAAGGCTTTGATGCCTCTCTCTGTTGCTCTTTGTTTTAAGACATCTTCCAGGAAACAGCAACCAATGTAATTCCAAGACCTTTTCCCCCTCTCAAACCTAGAGATCAGGTAGAAATATATCTGAGTACACTTGCAGTATACAGTATGATGTTAAAGCATGGATCTACCTATTCATTATGCCCTTCTATGACCAGCATCAGTCTTCTGAAGACTAATCTTCATTGCTAGTATTTTCAGTGTTCATATCCACAGAAACCATTTTATCCTGTCCTGAAATTTTTCCTCATCACCATCAACCTTGTTACACTGACAGAATCTCACAAATTTTAACCAGATCTCCCTAGAGTTACCTCAGACTGCAAGATGAGCAATATATAAATTTAATAAATAAATGTTATCTGAATACACCCATCAGTACCTCCCACCTTCTTTCCAAATATAGGTCTATGTAGAAAGAAAGTTGCAAACTATGCACATATAGATAATTTTATACAGATACACCCCCCCCAAGACTTTGACCACAATAAAAAAAAATACTTGATTTGAATTAGAAATGTTCACCAGTTGCAGGGGGCAAATGCTCCCGGTTTGGACCAGATTGGACAATCTGGTAGCGATGCTGACAGGTAGTTCGGAGAACCGGTAGCAAAAATCCCTGCCCCCCCCCCCCGCCCATGCCTACCCAATCGCCCCATCTCCACTTGCCCACTTGACAGCTTGCTGCTTCTTTCAGGCTCACTTGCTTTTCCTGCCTTGCTTCGGCTGCTGCAATCAATTGCATCAGTAAGCAACTCAATCTGCCTGCCTACAATCAATCCAATTGGTGAGCAACTTAATCTGCCTGCCTGCCTGCTTTGTGACTTCAATTTCAAAAACTGGGGTTTTTTGGGGGGGAGCTTTAAAAAAAAAGTCAATTGGGGATTTTTTTTAGGGGTTTTTTTTTTTAGACATAGCAATTTAAAGTTAAGGAAGTTTTAAATTTAGCTACTTTTATCTAAAAATAAGTCTATATAAATAAAAATGTAAATGTCCGTTTGTACATAACCGCACATCTCCAAAAGTTCTTCACCGATTGCTTTCAAATTTTGACACAACGTTGCATTCGACTACGGGCGTGTTTTTATATACCTATATTATATACATGTCACACCTGTGACAGGTAAAAACATGAAAAACATTGGAAAACATTGAAAGACAGCGCCATCTGCTGGACGTAAAACCAACACATCAACATTTTACCACACGAATTTTGAAAATTAAATCACAAATTTTTCACTAGGTATAATTCCAAAATATATCAACAAAAAAATATCAGCAGTCCAGATACAGAAGACTCAGGTAGCACATACATTTGCATGTTTAAAAATGCTATAAAAATTGTTGCTCTGTTCTCTGAGGAAACATACTACACCACAGCTGCAGTTGTGTTTTTACTGAGATTTATGAATTTATTGGAGAAAGACCAACACTGGGATGTATGCATTAATGATGCGTGCAACACATCACATCCTAATCAAATTTGTGCATTGTTTGCAATCATATTGACCGCCTGCTCTCCTTCATCTCCAACAGAGTTATGGAACAAATATAAGTCACACACGGCTGAAGATATTTTACATCAAATACGCAAGGAGAATTCAAATATGAACATGGATTTCACAGCAGAAATCTACAATGAAGCATTGCTAATGAGTGAAGATTTGTGCTTAGAAATTGCAAACAAAGTTCTCAATCAATTGGGAATGCCATCACCAAATCGATCTGCTGATGCTTCATTCGATGTAGAATTGCGTTGTGAACAAAATTACAACACGGGTGATCTTTTGTCATATCTGCATCAAATATTCCTATGCTAACACTTGAGCAAAAAGGCATTTACCATCAAATACTGCAAACTGTCAATAACGGGTTGGAGAAATCTTCTTCTTCGATGCGCCAGGAGGAACTGGTAAAACTTTCCTAATTAGATTGATTCTAGCAGCAATTCGATCCCAAAAGCACATAGCCTTAGCTCTTGCGTCGTCCGGAATTGCTGCAACATTGCTACCAGGTGGAAGAACTGCTCATTCCGCTTTGAAATTGCATTGAACATGCAATTCATTGAAACTCCCACATGCAACATTTCCAAAGCATCCGTCATGGGAAAAGTATTGCAGAAATGCAAACTTATTGTTTGGGATGAATGCACAATGGTGCACAAAAAAATCGCTCGAGGCTCTTGATTGATCATTGCAAGATTTGCGTGGAAACCTCACACCATTTGGAAATGCATTAATATTGCTTGCAGGAGATTTCAGACAAACATTACCTGTAATTCCTCGACCGACACCAGCTGATGAAATAAATGCTTCCCTGAAATACTCTACTTTGTGGCAACACGTAAAGACATTAAAATTAACTACAAATATGTGTGTCCAGCTGCAAAATGATCAATATTCTCACATCAATTGCTGGAAATTGGGAGCGGAAAGGTGCCAGTTGATCTGACCTCAGGATGAATATCATTCCCTCATAACTTCTGCAATTTAGTGACGACAAAACAAGAATCGGTTGAAAAAGTATTTCCCAATATTCAAACCAATTATACCAATCACAGTTGACTGAGTGAACGAGCTATTCTTGTGGCCAAGAACAAAGACATCTACGAAATTAACAATATTATTCAGTCTAACATTCAAAGCGAGGCAGTCACATACAAGTCCGTCGACAGTGTCGTAGAAGCAGATGAAGCAGTTAATTATCCGACAGAATTTTTGAATTCACTCGATCTCCCAGGGATGCCACCACATGTACTGCAATTGAAAATCAGCGTGCCAATTATCATGTTGCGAAATATCAACCAGCCAAAGCTTTGCAATGGCACGCGGCTTGCAGTAAAAAAATTAATGAACAACATCGTAGAAGCAACAATCTTGACAGGACCTTTCAAAGTTGAGGATGTCCTCATTCCTCACATTCCTATGATTCCAACAGATATGCCATTTCAATTTAAGAGATTGCAATTCCCAATTCAATTGGCCTTTGCAATCACCATCAACAAAGCTCAGGGCCAATCTTTAGAAGTCTGTGGTTTAGATCTACACACGGATTGTTTCTCACATGGACAATTATATGTCGCATGTTCTAGAGTTGGAAAACCAGACAATCTCTATATCTACACACACAATGGAACAACAAAAAATATTGTATACCCACAATTAAACATATTAGAAACGTGCACTTTCTCTTTCCTTTTCCATTTAACCAGACTGAGCCACAGCAATTCACCAGCAATTCACCAGCTAGACTACCCTCCCCACCCCCTGGATATGCTTTCGGGGGCGGGGGGGAAGCAGCCTATAAACATCACCAACCCCAGTCTCCAGAAAAGGACCATTTTTTCTCCATCACCAGCTGGATAGGCGTGGCTGGGGGGGTATCATGTGATGAAAGTCAGTGACATTGAGTTGCCCACGCCCACCAAATGTCCTTGAAGAGTTTGAGACTTCAGCCTCACTCTTTTAGCCCAGCGGAACCACCAGACTGGGCCACAGCAACGCGTGGCCGGGTACAGCTAGTAAATAAATAAAAATAATAATAAATAATAAATAAATAATAAATAATAAATGAATAATAAATAAATAATGAATAATAAAATAAAAATAAAAAAATATTTTATCTAAAATAAAATATTTGTGCAACTTTCTGTGATTTGGTGTGTTTCTGTAGTGTTTCACTCTAACCACACAAACACAAAATCTAACAAAGCTGTATGTGGCATTTTGTGTGGAAAAAGTGTGAAAACTGGTTTTTGAGCTTTTTGTGGCTGTGTGAGGTTCCTGCTTGTTGCAGGGGTCATTTTGGGTCAAGTGCAGCTGCTTTTACATTGTGTGTGAGTCAGTTGTGTTGTGTTGTGTTGTGTTGTGTCTGTGTAAAGTGTAAAAGTTGGTTTTTGGTACCTCTTATTGTTTTGTGTACTTTGTTTATTATTTTTATTCTTTATTATTATTGGCCATGCCCATCTGGTCACCTGACCATCAAACCACGCCCACCAGATCACCTGACCACCAAGCCATGCCCATCAATTAAGCCACGCCCACAGACCCGGTTGGGAAAATTTTTAGATTTCACCCCTGCCTAGTTGTCAAAAGTCTTGGAGAATCAATGAATAGATATCCTCTAATTCCTTTTTGCACAGTTGCCACTTTTTCATAACATTGGATCTGAAAAATACTGAAAGTACTGTATGCACAGTTTTGGATTTTAGAGTCACACCATGATTTGCAAGTTGAGGAGCTCATCTTCATTGCTTCTGTGGGGACCTTCTTTATAGTATTTGAATAGGGCCACAACATTCTCTTTCAACCCAACCTACCACACAGGGTTGTTATTGTGGGAGAAATAAGAAGGGAAGCTTTAACTAGGTAAACCACCATAAATTTATCAAACATAATAGTGGACTAAAAATCAAATAAATTGGTTTAAAATATGAACAATGGTTAGAAGCATAAGAAATGGCACCCACTGGTAGATGATTTTGAAGTTACTACTACTATCTAATTAAGCAGTTTCTGCACCAAGTTTTTACAAATGTAAACATTAACTTGAAAATCTTTGAATTTCAGTGAGACATTTAGCCTGCATATTGCAAATTCTTCTTATTGATATTTTAATTGTTGATTGTGGCCATCTAATTGTCACCCCAAGAAACACTGGCTTCATTGAGCCTGATTCATGCAAAGCCAATTAAAGATGCAAGGTGGGACATCAGCTGGAAACTAACTACTACTTTTAACAGTAGCATTAGTCTGCTGTGCCACTCAGGCTCCTTTCCCAGCTGGTGCCTGATAAGCAATGATTCACTTAACTTTAGTGATTCACTTAGCAACCACAGCAAAAAAGATTGTACAATTGGATGTGACTCACTTAACAACCACCTTGCTTATAACAGAAATTCTGATCACAATTGTGGTGGTATATTATAGCTAGTAATATACTTGTAATATTTCTGATTACTCTTGAAGTTATTGTCCCAAAGGTGCTTTTCCAACCAGCTAATTACAACAATGACCTGGACAACTGAGAATCTCCACAGACATCATGAAATTATTTTTTCTCCCTGCTAATAGCTCATAAGAGAAAATGGAATCATTTCTGTACAAATTTCTGTTGACATTCAAGGTCAGGTAAGAAGTTATCATAATATTTTCTTTGCAACATTCCTCTGAATATCATCTTTGCAACATAAACAGTTTATGTTCTTAGGAAGCTACAGAGCATTAACCAGTAAAAGGCCAAATTTGTGTTAGCCATTATTAACAATTCTGGCACTTCCAAAACATAACTACATTGTGGGTAGGATGCAATGGTGGGTTGCCCCCGGTTCACACCTGTTCTATAGAACCGGTAGTAAAACTGGCAGGAGGCCCCGCCCACCGACCCCAACATCACCAAAATGCTTTTGCTCCTGCACAGAAGCTTCTGTGTATGTGCACGACCCCATTGTGAACTAGTAGTAAAGGTAAGTAGAACCCACCCCTGGTAGGATGTCTGTATAACCTGTTTACACAGGACAATTTTTAGCCTGAAAGACTCTAAAATAGCTTCAAGACTCATAAGTATGGGAAATAAGGGCCTTTGAAGAGAAGCAATCCATTCACAGCACCTGCACAATCTTCCCTCATAGGCTCAGATACCCTCTCTGCTCTGTAAATTATTTATAATTAAAGTATATACAAACTTAATTCTAACTTATTCTGACCATTTGGTACGGGATATATTTTTTTTTCCTCTTTAAAAAAGGCACCACATTTAAAGATATTCTCAGCAACATACAGGAGAAGCAGATAGCATAATGTCAGATTCGTAGAATTTTTTTCAAGCACAAATAAGCTGGTGAATTAGTGCAGAATCTGAAGCTTTTCAGAATCAAGCTTTTGCTGGTAATACCTGAAACATCATTGCAGTATTGTACTGTATTTTAACCTGTCTATTGAAAATGAAGTTAAAATTCCTGTCATAGATTTCTGGGCATTAGCAAATATTTTGTATCAGCAAAACATTAAACAAGAAAAAATGATGGTTCAAATAAGTTCAAATATATACATTTTTAAACTCTTGCCCAACATTTTTGAATTGATAATGTTTTAAAGTTCAGCAATTCAACTGACAATACATATTAATATTATGCTCAAAAATATTTATCTTTCCCCAACATTCTTCCTCAAATATTTTAATCTCCTAACCTAATGGAAGACTAGCTGCTAATACCTGATTAGCAATGACTTAGAAACACAATTCTAATTTTACAGCCAGGTGTCCTGGTTTTTTACATCTAGTAAGTATTCATTTTCACTATATTTCTCTGTTCTAAAAAAGTAATAGAAACATAACATGGAAAACCTGGGGACTTTTAAATATTGCTGGTTTTCCAATGGAACAATTTTTAATTTAATTTAATTTATTAAATGTATATGCTTCCCATTTCGCAAATAACATCCAATAGGATGTTAGGTAAATTGGAGATTATAGAATAAAATATTAACATTTATCAGTGAAACAACTTGCCTGCAGAAGATGTAAATGCTCTAAGTTTTTAATAAGAGATTGGATAACATTTGTCTGAAATGGTATATAGGTTTCCTGCCTAAGTAGGATGTTGGATTAGAAGATCTCCAAGGTCCCTTCTAACTCTGTTATTCTATTCTATTCTGTTCTGTTCTGTTCTGTTCTGTTCTGTTGTCCTGTCCTGTCCTGTCCTGTCCTATCCTATCCTATCCTATCCTATCCTATCCTATCCTATCCTATCCTATCCTATCCTATCCTATCCTATCCTATCATACCTTACCCTACCCTACCCATGAAATTTAGTGCTTCTATTCCAACCCTTCCATCATGAATAGCAATTCACAAAGAATTTACAAAAATAGCTCAACTGGGTGCCATGCCCAGTAAGCTCTCTACTGCATAACTAGTTCCTGATCACTTTCTAAATCAGTGCTTATCAAAGCTCTCCTAACATAGGTGTTTAGGGCAAATGTTAGTCTTTTTCA